GAGAAGAATGTCAACCCCCCGCCCTGGATGGCCACGGCTCTCACCTGGGGCTTCTCCAAGGCGTCGCCCCGTAATGTGGGGGAGTTCAGAGTTGTGTAGCGGGGGGAGTGCCGCCCCCCAACAATTCCTAGTGCCGCTGGAATGCCAGAGCCCTTCTGGCAAGGTCTAATCCAGGAGCTGACCCGCATGACTAATGCCTTGCATGCGGATTCCGAGTGTGCTTTGGCTCTGCTTCTGCTTAATTCAAAGTGCGAGAGCTGACTCGAGGCCATTAAAACAGTGAAAAGGAGCAAATCGAAGTGCCTCGTGATCACAGTGGTGTGTGCTCACCTTCATTGCTGCCCTGGCATTGCTGTGTCGTAAAGATGCAGGATTTCAATAATAACTTAGCATCATAGTATGAGGGGGCATGATACTCAAGATCTAATCAATGATTTAAAAAAAAGGCCTGTTAAACCCGAATTCAGTTTTGTCGGGGGAGTTTCACAATGCGTTTTATTTGATGTGTGACAGGAGTTCCTGGCTAGTTGTGCTGTTGTCTCTCACGAAGCCTGTTTTTTTGTTCCTCCGGAAGCTCTCGGTGTAGCAATACGCTGAGGAGATTAATTTTTTTTCTTGTTTCCACCATTTGGAGGACAGATGATGACAAAAGCTTGCAACAGACTGAAGAGGAGGGATTCTGTGTGATGAGTGAACAGAATTTTTTTTCTGGGCACGTTCTTTGAGTGGAGCTCTGGGTGGTTTAAGCAGAACTGAATGGAAGAAATAAGATCAACCACATCGTGTTGCTTTGAAAAGTAGGGGAAAAAGTGTGTTTTCTGGAGGTGATTTGCTTTTCTGCTCTCTGACCCCTGAAGAATAAGGCAAAAAGAGCACAGTAATTCTGGAAATAGCTATTGGTTAGAGTAGAGGAGACCTGACTGTGAGAACTGCATCCTGTAGCTGAGAGTGGTATCAAAGAGTTATTTTAATGTGTCAGCGATGATTAATTTAGGGCTGAAGTGAGGACTGGCATCTGGGGGAGGCCTGGTTTCCAAAGACAAGGTGTTGTAACACAATGCTCCTCTAATGAGGAGTTGAAACGTTAGAGGCTGTGTACCTGGAACTCCTGGATGAGAGCATGGGCAGGTCATCTCCTGAACACTTTGGCCCTCTCAGATGCAGGAGTGTCCATTTAAACATCGGGTGTTTGTTGGTTTTGCATTTAGCAGTTGGTGTTAAAACGGTCTGAGGCAAAATATTTGGCTTGGCTTCAAGTGAGTTCCCTTTGAGTCATGTTGGGAAATGGGCAAAAGGAATTTTCTGCCTGCAACTGGTGGCAGGGTGACCGTGGCAGGGACAGCCACGTGGCTGGGGTGGTTCCCTCTGCAGAGTTATGGTTTCATTTACTTTGAGCTTTGAGAATAGTGGGGCTTCTTTGATCTGCAACAATTGGCCCTGCTGCTGCTTTTTGTCAGTGTAACAATAGCAAAAATGAATTGCCTGGGCGATGGCCCGTTCAGATGTGTTTTATATATACATGGGGGTGTTTTGAAAAAGAAAACCTCTGTAATTGCTATTAGTTACACACTTAGGAGGATTCGGTATCATTGTTATAAGAGACTGGGACATAATTATATGTGATGCAAGTCCTTGGCACGGTAACAGCAGCCTCCCTCCAGAAGGGCTAATATAAATATTTGCAGGAGAGGAAAACAAGCAGGAGCACTGCAGTCAGACCTGGGCTGTCCTGGGTGCTTTCAGGTTCTTTGGTACCGTTTTGGGGGTATCAAAACCTACAGTCCTTCTAGAGACATTGCTACTTAAATCTCTTGATTACTTGACTGTACCTACAGTGCAAAGGAGGGTCAGTCTGAGGTAGTTGTACGTGGTCAAAGCAATGACCCCTCTTTTTTTTTTTTTTTTTATTTTTTGGCTCGCTGCCCAAAGTAAGAATAACCACTGTACTATGATGAGTAGATACCACTTCCCTTCTAGATCCTGCAGCACTAAATCCTGCTTTTAAAGGGAGGTCATACATCACTTTCCTGGAAGAGACTGTTGTGTTTGGAAGTTACACTGCACTTACAAGAAGCTGTATACAAAAGCCACCAGCCTGGCCCGGGGCCAGCATGCAGAGAGAATAAAGATGTTTCCTTGTGTCTCACTTGCCTGCACTGACCTCGGGTAAATACACATGCAAATGCCGTGAAGGGCCAGCTTGTTCATTAGTCTTGGGTTTGCATTTGATTGTGTGGGGTTTTTTCTTTAATTCCTCCATGTTGAGGAGAGCTTTCAGGAGAGGGGTGTGTGCTTACGAGCCAGACAGTGTCAAACGCAGGTCAGCAGAGCTGCCTGGAGCTGTCCTGTGCCCTGGCCAAGCTGAGCTGCAGGAGGTGCTGATGAAATGCAGGGATCTATCCCTGCCTCTGCTCACCCCACACACTGACCCTTTTTCCCTCCACGTCCTGGCATTTGTGTTTTGTACAAATTCTAAAGCAGCACATTCGCCCCTCAGATTTTCCTGCTGCTCTGTGTGCATGGACTTGGGCAGAGGAGTGTGTGGATTTTAAGGACATGATGCAGCATGACTTGGAAAAAATCCATAGCTGTCCTTGAATGCTACTAGTGGTGACTTTCATCTGCACCCTTCATTGATTAAAATATGTTCCCACCGATCTTCAGCATCTCTCTGAGGTGCAAGACCCTTTCTCTTCCCAGATATACCCGTTAAAGCTCTAAGGGAGGTGGTCACAAACTGAGTTATCTTAGATAGAAGGTGATTTTTTTTTTAATATATATATTAGGAAGCAGAGAGTAATCAGCCATTTGACTGTTACAGTAAAGCTGGTATCTTCATTTTCATGTTTCATGTTCCCATCTAGGTGAGTTCAACAAGGGATCGAGTTATCTCTTCAGTTTTATTCAGTGTCCTGTGCAGTGTCCAGCACTGGGCCTGTGTCTGTAGTGGAGCTGCTGTGAGAGTTTCGGGAGCCAAACAGCTCCTCTGTTAACCAGGAGTGTGTGCAGGGACAGTGCTGCCGAGTTCATGGGACGTTTGCTTCGTGTGTGTAGCCCTTGACTTGCTCTCCAGGATAAAAC